CAATTAGGAACCTGACGTTCCCAAGCCTTAGACCCCAGTTTCTCTCTCAGAAAACCCAGCAGTGGCCTGGCCTCACACAGAACACGTCAGTCTGCACGGCTTGGAAACTGCTTTCAAGATGTGAGTTGTTGATTATGTTCAAGAAGACAGAATGTGACATTAAAAAAATCCTGTCTGAGAGGCTCCCTGAGGAGTGAACAAAAGTAGAATTTGAGGCTGTTCCAAGTCAAACAATGTGCTAGGTGTTTTTTTTTTTTAAATTATATTTACTCTTTAAATAAGTAGTCCATGTCCATGGAACCAAATTCATACAAAAATTGAGACATATCAAGGCTTTCTTCTGTGTTGATGTCCAGCTATCTGGTTACCCTCTGCTATGGATGGAATATTTGTGTTCCTTTCAAATTCATGTTGAAATCCTGACCCCCAAGGTGATGATATTGGGAGGTGGGGCCTTTGGGAGGTGATTAGGTCATGAGAGTGATCTCGTGAATGGGATTAGTGCCCTTATAAATGAGGCCCGAGAGAGCTCCCTTTCCCCTTCTACCATGTGAGGATGCAGCAAAAAGATGGCCATCCATGAACCAGGAAATGGGCCCTCACTGGCATATTAGTCCATTTTCATGCTGCCGATAAAGACATACCCAGGACTGGGTAATTTCTAAAGAAAAAGAGGTTTAATGGACTCACAGTTCCATGTGGCTGGGGAGGCCTCACGATCATGGCAGAAGGTGAAAGGCACATCTTACATGGCAGCAGACAAGAGAGAATGAGCCAAGCGCAAGGGGTTTCCCGTATAAAACCATCAGCTCTCGTGAGACTTATTCTCCACCATGAGAACAGTATGGGGGAACCTCCCCCATGATTTAATTATCTCCCACTGGGTCCCTCCTATAACATATGGAAATTGTGGGAGCTACAATTCAAGATGAGATTTGGGTGGGGACACAGTGAAACCATATCAACCAGACCCCGAATCTATCTGGCACCTTGACCTTGGACATTCCAGTCTCCAGAGCTGTGAGGAATAAATTTCTGTTGTTTACAAGCCACCCAGTCAACGGTAGTTTGTTATAGTGGTCAGAACAGACTAAAATGTCCTCCAAGGAGGTGACAACTGTTACAATCTTCTTGTGCCCTTCTCCTGAATGCAAATACAGTGAACATAAAAGTCAGCTTCCTATAGATGCTGTTCTGTTCCTTGACTTTTTTGCTTGAAGGTTGTTCTACATCGGTTTGTATAGGGCTGACTTACTCTTTTTAACTGCTGAAGAAATTTCACTGGAGAAATGTGCCGTGATTTATTTAATTGACCCTCTATGAATAGACTTTTCCATTGTTCTTAATCTTTTTACACCAGGTCAGCAGTTCTCAACTGGAGCTGATTTTGTACCCTGCCTGCCCCGGGAGATATTTGGCAATGCCTGGGGAGATTTCTGATGGTTATACCTGGGAGATGGGGTGCTGCTCACTAGTGGGTGGAGGCCAGGGATGCTGCTAAACATCCTATGGTGCAGGGGACGGCCCCATGACAGAGGATTTTCCCACCCCAGATGTCAGCAGGGCTGAGGCTGAGAAGCCTGTGCTAGGTGATACCTTCAGGCTGCAGGCTGCAGGTGAGAAATCTGGAAGGAGTGAGCTGTCAAGTCCAAAGGCAGGGACAGGAGGAAATGCGCGTGCCATGGCAACACTGCACTTTGCAGGAAGGAGTAGGGAAAGTGCTCAAGCTCATGCTCCTCAGAGTCTAGAGGAGACAGGTCTGGAAGGGGCCGCCACCCAGAGAGGGGAGGGGCTCCCCTTATTCCTTTTGTGCCCATTTATGCCCCTAGATTCTGCCTGGGAACACCAGAATAGTGGGTAAGAGATGCAATTATTCTCAACAAACCAAACACAGTCATTAAACAGAATCTCAAAGCTCTTAATTACTAGCATATTAGCATATTGCGAATGAGGAAACAGCGTTTAGTATATAACAGCAGAAGCTTTGGGAAGAAATGCCTATTTTTACCACTAATTAAGAGAATATTATAGAAGAGTTAGAGAATTAATTGTACTTCAGTATATCTTTATAAGGAGGATAATTGGGTAAAGATTGTTTCTTCATTCCCACATCACAATATTTGCAGGCAGATGGTATTGTTCGTGCTGAGAAACTGTTGTGGTATCAACACAAACGATTTTCTCCTTCAAAAATATTTAATACGTTAATCGGCCTCCTCTTTGCAGAATATTATTATGATTATTTACATCTGTGTTGCACTTCACGGTTTTCAAACACATCCATGATCCTATGGAATTCTCGGGGTGGCCAGGATACTATTATTCCCTTTTCACAGGGGATAAAACAGCTAGGAGAGACTTAAGTGACTTGTAAGAGGCCAGCAGCTTAACACGGTTGCAATCAGGACCTGAACCCAGCCCCCAGCACTAAAACGTCTGCTTCTGGACCATGGATGATTCTTCATTTTCTCTGTAACCTGCATGATCTGGTACCTCACTGTGGGTGTGTGCAAAGTGTTTACCTGCTTGGGGTGTGTGTGTGTGTGTGTGTGTGTGTGTGTGTGTGTGTGTATGGGGGGGGGGGTTCCATACTGAAGTGAGAATAGCAGGACCTATGTGGTCCAGGAGTCCTGGGTTCAAATCCCAGCTCTGTCACTTACCGTTGTGTGACTTTGGGCAAGTGAAATAATCTCTTTCAACTTCCGTTTCCTCATCTATAGAAGAAGGGTTGTGATTCTTATTTCCTGGGGTTGCTGTTAGGATGAAAAGAAATGATGTCCTCAGGGGCTCAGTACAGTGCCTGCCTGGTACGAGGTGGCTTATGGTTGTTATTGTTACCCCTGCCTGGATCTGCTCACTCATCAGACACTTCTGATTGTATCCAGGGGTTTCACATGTGCACACATATCAGCCCCAGCCACGTGTGGCTTCCGTGGCCACAGTTTCTGATGCCTCCCCTGAGACAAGCCTCTAAGTCCTGCTGCTCTGCCTGTGCTGGGGAGCAGGTCCCTTTGGTCACCCAGCCACCAGCGCTTTCTAAGCTCATGGTAACTGATCTGCACAGCAGCTAAGGAGGGGATGGTTCCTGACTTTTGCCATATGCTTTTGTGGAGGGCTACTGCAGTGGGCTGCTGGGACCCCGATGCGGCACAGTGCTCGGGGATTAGGCTCTATACACTATACCCACAGCCTGCTCCTCCTCAGGGTGAGTACACGTGGTCAAGACCACCTGGCTAAGGTGGGGCTCAGGGTTTAGATACCAATGTATACTGAGAATCATGCCTTCCTTTGGGATCCCAGGCTCACACAGTGGCAGCATTAAGTCATCTCTCCTTGAGATAAACTCTCCCGGAGCCTCTACTGGGTGATGGTGGTTCTGATCTGACCAGCATCCCTTCCTCCTTATTTTGGTAACTGAGCCTTAGTTTGACTTTGATGAGTTACCAGTTCTCTGCTCTCAGACCCTGTGGTCCAAGAAGGGCTGACTCCAGACCCTTGGTGCTAGGAGGGGATGTGTGACCCACGCCTGACATAGGAGAATGCATACTCCTCTGGTCACAGAGAGTGGTTTAGGGATGCACACGTGACCCAAGTTGGGCCACTCACAGCCAATCCCAGGACTTTTGCAGGCATTATGAAACGAGAGAGGATCTTTCTGCTGTGGGTGCTCAGCTGGTAGGATGTAGGCCTGGGACTACAGATGCCATTTTGCTAGGACATGGGGGATGCCCTCTAAGAATGAAACCAATGCAGAGGAAGACAGAGACCAGAGATGGTCAGAGATAAATTCCTGATTGCAGCATGAGTACCTGGATCCATGATGCATCCATGCCTGAAGACAGTTTGAGTTTCCATCATTTGCAACCAAATGAGCCCCAATGCTGCCCTTGACATTGAAGCTCTTCTCAACTTCTTCTCCTCCTGCCCACCAGAAGTGCTGGGATTTGCCTGAATTCTGTTAATGGGCTGACTGCAGGTTCTTTTATAGGCAGCCCTTGAGAAAACAGATAACTTCAAGAAAAGGATGAAGAGAAAGGAGAAGAAAAAGCATCTCCCAATGCATGCTTTCCATGCTAGATCTCCACCCCGGCTAAGATGCTGCCTTGTACTTTATCAGGCTCCTTTCCCCATTTACTTTCCACTGGACAGTTTCAAGAGGAAATGACAGAGATTACTTTTTCATGATGGCTGCCTTTTGTAACTCAGCCGATGTTTAATTAAAATTTTTATTATCTCCTCAAGTTAACACAGAAATTCATCTACTATGGCAGCACAAGGCCCCATCTTTGAAACTGCCCTTTTATGAATTGAGAATTCCACCATTAGCCAAAGCCCAGCATCTTTCCCAAGCATCTCAGTGTATAGCGCAGGTGAGGATTTGACAGCCCCTCACTCCAGCTTAGATGCGACCTCCATTATGCCGCTTCTCTTGAAACCCCACCCACCTATCCCCACGCCTGTTGCCTTTTCCCTTCCCTGCTCCTTTTGCATCTGCAGCACCTTATGCTATGACTTGTTTACCCGCCTCTCTCTCTAAGCTCCGAGGACAGCACCTCTATTTTCTTTATTCTAGAGTAGATGGGTATTTTGGCCTGGTTTGTAATTAATGACTATATTCCCACAGCTTCAAACAGTGCCCGGCACATAGTACATGCTCAATAAATGTTTACTAAATGCCTCTCTGCATCCCACACATGTGGCAGTCCTTAGCACAGCAGAAGGACTTGGGACCTGCAAGAATGAAGCGAGGGGTTAGATATACCCTTTTACTCGATGTGACGATTACACATTGCATGCCTGTATCAAAATATCTCCTGTACCCCATAAATATACCTTCTACATATGCGTAACAATTAACATTTAAGATGATAAAGTAGGGACGTTGGTTCCCAGCTCCCCCAATATCATTGCTGTCCAGGACTCAATCATGGCAGGTTCTTCTGTGTCCTTTTATCCAATCAGACACCAATTGCCTTTCTTCACATTCATTCATTTTCCAGATCCCCTGCACACTTATTGGTGCCTATGCTGTGTTAGGTGTAGATAGGTGAGCGTGTACAGATTCTGCTTGAAACTCACCTGCTTCAGCATGTGCCACGAGGAAAGTCTCATCACTCCCATTTCACAGATGTAGGATCCAAGACTCTGAGAGGTAAGAGTCAGAGGTCACCTGATGTAAGAGGCGAAGTTTAGATGAACACCATTTTGCTTTTTCCTCAGTTGTCATATACAGGCATCTTATCTACCAGCTACTGTAGGAAAAGCAGGATAGATATCCTACATTCTGAGAGAAAGACTTGGCATGAGGCACCCAGGGGGCTCTCAGTCAAGGGGCAGCTAAAACCTCATTGTCTGTGTTGCTCTGCCTTTTTCCCTGTGAGAGGTATCCTGTCGTCTTACCTTTATGAGGGACATGAATCCCTCTGCTTCCTCCTGGCTTTCATTCTGAACCTCTGCACCCCTAGCAAACACCATTAGTTCTTCCTGACTTCAGAATGGACTGAGTAACTGACGCCAGAGACAGGGATGTTCCCAACACTGCCTAGAATGAAGTCACTTTTAACAGAGTGAATGCAAACACAATGTATGCATATTGCACATACAGAACTACCTGACAGTGCTAAATAATTCAGAGAGGACGCCGGCAGCTCAGTGCCTTTTAACAGTAAATAATTCAAGCGCTCTTGGCATCCCTCCCACCGAAACAGCAATATATCTGCCTGTGTCGGAGAGAAGCAGGGGTCTTACATGAATGAATGTGAGGGCCATTACAACCAGAACCTTCTCCCCCATGGATGTTTACAGAGTGCAGCGGGCAACATCATTTGCAATCGTTCTTTGTTTAGGTGGCCAGCTGATCAGACTTTCAGCGTGCTGGCTTTTGTTACATATATGTATTTTTTGAGACGGGAGTCTCGCTTTGTCGCCCAGGCTGGTATGCAGTGGCACAATCTTGGCTCACTGCAACCTCTGCCTCCTGGGTTCAGGCGATTTTCGTGCCTCAGCCTCCCAAGTAGCTGAGACTACAGGTGTGTACCACCATCTCTGGTTAATTTTTGTATTTTTAGTAGAGATGGGGTTTCACCATGTTGGCCAGGCTTGTCTTGAACTCCTGACCTCAAGTGATCTGCCCACCTCGGCCTCCCAAAGTCCTGGGATGACAGGCGTGAGCCACCATGCCCAGCCGGTTACCTATTTTTTAAAGTGAGAGAAGAAAACAGTTTCCCCAGACATCCGCTGTGATTAAAGACCAGCAAGTGTGCAGTTATGTACATATACGTTTGTTAGCAATTTAGGTCATCTTTGGCCTACTGTTCAAACCTTACTGAGTGGCTTGAGAGCAGAGGGCATCTTAGTGGCATAGCAGCCTCGCATGTGTTCTATCTTGCTAGTTATGCAACTCTGGGCAAGTGATGAAACGTTCTTGTTCCTCAGTTTCCTCATCTGTCAAGTGGGGCCAATAATAGTTCCTATATCATAGGATTGTCATGAGGACCCCACGGAAGTTCACCTGTAAAGGGTTTAGCACAAAGTGGGGCACAAAGTGGAAACTGCCCTCTAAATAGAGACCCACTGCTAACAGTAAATCAAAGTCATCATTTTACTAATGAGGCCACTGAGGCTCAGAGAAGGACATAAACCCAAGGTCACACAGCCATGACTAGCAGGAAGAGGGCAAAGGTCAGGTGCTCAGTTTCCCATTCAAGTGAATTTATGGCAGAAGGGAGTAACAGCATACCCCAGGGACTGGAGTGTAGCCAAAAGATCCTTTGTAGCTGAAAAATGCTTTGGGCTATTAAGCTTTATCAGGCAGAGTTTGAATTTCTCGATGTTTTAGTGTAACATAACGGCAATTACTTTTACTCAACACATGTTTCTTTAGCTCCCACTCAGTGCCTGGCACTGGAAAGGCAGCAGTGAACAAGACAAGGTTTCCACTCTCATGGAGACAACCAACAAGCAAACCAATGAACAGGTCATTTCATGTCATGGTAAGCACAAAGGAAACTCTAACACAGGGTAAGGGGCTAGACAGGGATTGGCAGCTCCTTCTATGGTGGGTGGAGGTGTCAAGGAAAGCATCTGTGAGGAGCTGGGCATGTGGCGAGCTGGCACACGGGCTGAACCATCAGCTTGTGCAAGGGCCCTGGGGTCGGGCAAGTTTAATGCCTTATCTTTCCTTCTCAAAGCATGGAGTACTTTTCAGGGTTGTATTAGTTTCCCTGAAATCTGCTGCTGCTATCGCAGATGGTCACAAATAGGGTGGCTTGAAACAACAGGAATTTCTTCTCTTGCAGCCCTGGAGGCCAGGGTCTGAAATTAAGGCATCAGCAGGGCCATGGTCCCCCTGGAAGCTCCAGGGGAGTGTCCGTGTTCTGCCTCTTCCACCTCTGGTGGCTGCTATCACTCCAACCTTACCCCGTCTCTGTCAGTCTCCCTCTGCCTACCTGCCTGCCTTTTCCTTCCTTCCTTCCTTCCTTCCTTCCTTCCTTCCTTCCTTCCTTCCTTCCTTCCTTCCTTCCTTCCTTCCTTCCTTCGTTCCTCCATCCCTCCCTCCCTCCTTCCCTCCCTCCCTCCCTCCCTCTCTCCCTTTCTCTCTCCTCTTTTCTTTTTTGGATACAGGGTCCTTCCTCCCTTCCTCTCTCCCTTTCTCTCTCCTCTTTTGTTTTCTTTTTTGGATACAGGATCTCACTCTGTCACCCAGGCTGGAGTGCAATGATGCAATCATAACTCACTACAGCCTCGAAGCCCTGGGCTCAAGTGTTCCTACTACTTCAGCCTCCCGAGTAGCTGGGACTACAGGTATGCCACCACCATGCCCAGTTACCTTTTTATTTTTTGTAGAGATGGGAGTCTTGCCTAGTCTGGTCTTGAACTCCTGGGCTCAAGTGATCCTCCTGCCTCAGCTACCAAAAAGGTTGGGATTACAGGCATGATCCACCATGCTTGGCTAATTTTATTTTATTTTTGTGAGATGGAGCTTCACTCTTGTTGCCCACGCTGGAGTGCAATGGTGTGATCTCGGCTCACTGCAACCTCTGCCTCTTGGGTTCAAGCGATTCTCCTACCTCAGCCTCCCAAGTAGCTGGGATTACAGGCACTCACTACAATACCCAGCTAATTTTTGTATTTTTAGTAGAGCCGGGGTTTCACCATGTTGGTCAGGCTGGTCTCGAACTCCTGACCTCAGGTGATCCACCCGCCTTGGTCTCCCAAAGTGCTGGAATTACAGGCGTGAGCCATCGTGCCCAACCCCTGGCTAATTTTTTATTTTTTGTAGAGATGGGAGTCTCACCCAGGCTGGTCTTGAATACCTGGCCTCAAGCAATCCTACCGTCTTGACCTTCCAAAGTGCTGGGATTACAGGGATGAGTTACTGCACCCAGCCTGCCTGCCTCACTCTAATAAAGACACTTGTCATTGGGTATAGGACCCCCCCAGATAATGCAGGATAAGCACCTCCACTCAAAATCCTTAAATCAATCACTTATTTTACCATATAAAGTAATATCCACTCTTTACTACACAAGGTAATTTTGACAGGTCCCAGGGATTAGGACGTAGACATATCTTTTTGGGGCCACCAGTCAGCCCACTATTATGGCTGAGGAATATGTAGCAGGTTCTGGATGCTAAAAGCACCAATAAAAGGCAAAACTTGGCCTCCGTTTTGAGTTGAACTTGCAAGCACAGTATCCAGTTATGTTAGATATTGCTGACAATTTTGGCTCTGAATAAATATGTAGAATGAGATCTAAATATGCCGCTGGGGATCCTGCAACGCAAGCTGAAATACGGATGCTTAACTCTGAAGTCCCCCCAGACTGCACTTTCTCTGGTCCTGTTTTGATTTATTGAGGACTCTGGCGGACACTGTGCTAAACATGAACGTTCCCTGGGGAGCTTGTTAAGTGCATGCGCTCGGGTGCCCTCCTGGGAATTCTAACTGGACATATCTCGGAGAGGCCCAGAAATCTGCATTTTAAACAAGCATGCCAGGTGATTCTGGTTCAGATGCAGGTGGTCTGAGAATGACAGGTGGAGAAATGCTGACGTTAGGGGGTGGGTGATGCATGTTTAATTACTAGACAGTGGTAGTGGAAAAAAAATTCTGGCCTCATACTCCATTTGAGGCAGACATAATTGAAATAACTACATATACCTTTGCAAGAAGGCTCAGGTTGGCCAGGTGTGGTGGGTCACACCTGTAATCCCAGCACTTTGGGAGGCTGAAGTGGGAGGATCACTTGAGCCCAGGAGTTAGAGACCACTCAGGGCACATGGCAAAACCCTGTCTCTACAAAAAATACAAAAATTAGGCTGGGCACGGTGGCTCATGCCTGTAATCTCAGAACTTTGGGAGACTGAGGTGGGCAGATCACTTGAGGTCAGCAGTTCGAGACCAGCCTGACCAACGTGGTGAAACCCCATCTCTACTAAAAGTACAAAACTTAGCTGGGCATGGTTGTGGGCGCCTGTAATCCCAGCTACTGTAGTCCCAGCTACTTGGGAGGCTGAGGCAGGAGAATCACTTGAACCCAGGAGGCAGAGGTTGCAGTGAGAGGAGATCATGCCACTATACTCCAGCCTGGGCAACAGAGTAAGACTCTGTCTCAAAAACAAAGTAAAACAAAACAAAAAACCAAAAATTAGCCAAGCATGGTGACATGTGCCTGTAGCCCCAGCTACTTGGGAGGCTGAGGTAGGAGGATCACTTAAGCCTGGGAGGTCAAGGTTGCAGTGAGCCATGATTGTGCCACTGCACTCCAGCCTGGGCGACAGAGTGAGACCCTGGCTAATTTTTTAATTTTTTGTAGAGATGGGAGTCTCACCCAGGTTGGTCTTAAATTCCTGGCCTCAAGCAATCCTCCCGCCTTGACCTTCCAAAGTGCTGGGATTACAGGGATGAGTTACTGCACCCAGCCTGCCTGCCTCACTCTAATAAGGACACCTGTCATTGGATATAGGACCCACCCAGATAATGCAGGATAAGCACCTCCACTCAAAATCCTTAAATTAATCACTTATTTTACCATATAAGGTAATATCCACTCTTTACAAGGTAATTTTGACAGGTCCCAGGGATTAGGACAGGGATGAGGATTTGTCTCATAAACAAACAAACAAACAACAAACAAATAAAGCTCTGGTTGCCTGGAATGATCTTGTACAATATGAAGCCCTCAACTGGCGGGATGAATCCTATGTAGGCTTCATCAGGTTGGAGAGCGCTTTCGGGAAGTGACCCAGTGCAGGCGCCTTGGGTTAGGAGTCTGAACCGCTCAGGCTCTCATCTCCACTCTCAGCTTACTGGACCTGGAGTCTTGGGCAGGCCGCTCTGCTCTTTGAGCCTCAGTTTCCCCCTCTGGGAACAGGGCTATCCAGACTTGCCTTACCCAGTTCACAAACATGCCTTGAAGAGTCATTGTCACTGTTTAGAAGTTACAAATCCCAAGAGTGTCTGGACTTTCCTCCTCTCTGAGAGCTGCTGAGTGAGGCTGAGTGGGTGTTTTCTCAAAGGCTGTCACACTGATGGCATGCTGGAGGAGCCCCAAGACCACCCTCAGGATTGACGGTTCGGTAGGAAGCCTCACCAGGCCTCAGCATACAGTTATCCTCCTGGCTGTGACTTATGACGAAAAGACACCAAGTGAAATCAGCAAAGGAAGAGGCTAATAGGTGAAGGCGGAAACCAGACACAAGCTTCCAAGAGTCTCTCCCGCTGCATCACACAGGATACCTAATTCCCCAGCAACGAGCTGTGACAGCACATGTGAGATGTTGTCCATCAGGGAAACTCACTAGAGACTCGGGGCCTGGGATTTTTATTGGAGGCTGATCACGTGGCAGCCTTGGCCAGGCAGGTACCAAAATTCCAGACTCCCAGCGGGAGCCCAGGCGTTCAGCACAAATGCTATTCTTTGTATAGGTATTTTAGGCACAGAAGCCATTCTTATCAGTTAACGGTGGGTAGGACCCTCATGAAATCTGAGTTCCCAGACTCTAGCCAAGGGCCAACCTCATAGAGATTTTTTCTTGCCTTCCAAAGGATGGTGACTGGGCTTGCTGTGCTCTCTTTGTGTAACGGTCATCTCTCATTCTTTTGTTGACATTTGGGTATTCAACCTCCCTTCCCATGCCTGGGGAATCTCCCATCTTTTGAGACAAAAATCCACCTCTCATGATAGAAGCTGAAAATGTCACTCATTTTCCCAGCCAGCTTTGCAGCTAGAGGACAGTCACATGACCCCCATCCTGCCAATCAGATGAAGCACTCAAATTTTGAATTAGAAGCTAGTAACATAAAGAAGGTGGAGCCTGGGCAACATGGCAAAACCCTGTTTCTACAGAAAACACAAAAATTAGCCCGGAGTGATGGCTCACGCCTGTAGTCCCAGCTACTTGGGAAGCTGAGGTGGGAGGATTCATTGAGCACAGGAGATCCAGGCTGCAGTGAGCCATGATTACATCACTGCACTCCAGTCTGGGCAACAAATCAAGACAATTGTCTCCGAAAGAAGTTGGGAGCACACTGGTAGTGAGGGGTTGCAGCAGCTGCATTCTATTTCTAGGGGTGGTGGCAATGGCAGCAGCTCTGCTGTCAGAGGCCGGTGAGCAGTCCTGATGGTGGTGGTGACACCTGTGCCCAGCACGAGCTTCCAGGAACCTTCCCTGGGACAGTTCTGCAGGATGCTTTGAGCCCTGCCCCTGAGTCTCTGGCCCTCCTGGAGTCTCGGTGAACTCACCGTTCCCTTCTTTACAGCCTCTTGTCTTTCCTTAAGTCAGACAGGCTTGGGCTTTGTTTCAAAGGTTTGTTTGGGTTTAGGTTTTGTTTGGTTTTGTTAGGAAGATAATTCTAAGATGTACTCATACATGATATTAACCAAAATTGAGTCACAGGGTGAAATGGTCCTTTTTCATTCTCTCTCAGACTTTCTGTATACTTAGGAGAAAGTCTCTGTTTGCTTCTGGAGCCCTTAGCCCCTTTAAG